ATAGTAGAACCCTCCAGGGGTGGGAGTGGGGTATCCATTCGCTCAGGTAGCCCTTCTAGTTACCAGAATGGAGCTGCGCAGTCAAGGAGAGACCAATGAACAGTGGACAGATACCAAAAAACAAAAATGCCCAAACCTGTATCTCCTCGGTTCTGTCAGGCGTTCGTGGCTGCTCTGATCCTTCCCCCACTTGTTCTCTCCCAAGATGGTGGCTCCAGGAATAACTGAACATCTTGAATTAGAAAGCAATGGATTTCTTGATTCTCCTACAAATTCCCCTAGCTGTAAGCCTTCCAATCCTCTAAATATTCCTTTGTATGTGGTTCAGAGTTCCAGCACCATCCCCTGAGCCTGCTTGGCCTGGTATTCTGTGTTGTTATTGATGGAGCTCCTCACTGCACGTCTGCCTGATCGACCATCTTGATACAATCAAAACTAGGTTTCTTAATTTACAGAAGCCAAGCTAAAAGGATAGTTTGTAGAATTTTTACTGTGTCGAGATTCTCTTATTTTACTAGCTTTTTCTTTAGTACTAGAAATGAATTAAACTGCTAAAAGATAAGTATAGATTAGGTACCGTACTTCTTATCTGAGCTATGTAGAGCGTTTCTTTATTAAGAACATTTAGAATATCTAACAGATGTTTGTGGGATGCTTTGTATGTGACCTTGCTTTGTTGTTGTTATGTGCCGTGGATTCGGCTCCGACTCATAGCGACCCTGCAAAGGCTGTAAATCTTTACGGGAGCAGAAAGCCTCCTCTTTCTCTCGCGGAGCAGCTGGTAGTTTTGAACTGCTGACCTTGCGGTTTGCAGCCTGATTCATAACCACTATGCTACCAGAGAGAGCTCCTTGACCCTGCTTTATTATAGCAATAATAACAAAATAAGACCAAAATTATTGATTAATTGATTTCAGTAATTTTATGAAACATACCATGAGTTCCCAAGATCAGTACTGAGGTGTATGAATATATATATACATATATATGGTTTTTTTTGTCTGTGTTTCTTTTCAGGAAAAATTGGGCCACCTAAAGTGGATGTCAAAAGACAGGAAAACCAAATCATTATTGACGTATTTCACCCATTCATTATTATAAATGGAAAAGAGAGAACTTTGTTTGATTATGATGAAGATGCTTGTTACAATTTAATTTATGATGTATATGTGAGAATTAATGGAAGTGAGGTATGTGTTTCTGTTTCATTTTTCTAAATGAAAATTGTTCTGTATATAGCATAAGTTATTCATTCAAGTAGTATAATATAAGTAGAATGTTTATGAATATTCAGGCAAGATTCATAGATTATAGATTTTTTTTAAGAAAGAAGAAAGCTGTGAATACTATTGTGGAGAATGGGTTGATCAACGCTGACCTGATTAATCCATATAAGCCTTTTTTAAACAAATTTTAGTAGCATGACCTTAGTGTAGCATTTTAAATAGACACCTCCTTTTCTCTATTGGTAAGAAGGAGAGGCTAGTTAAAGCCATTTTTCGTCCTCACTGTTTCTGATGTTTAATAATATAAAGATATAATTTAAATCTGAATGAGTAAGGGGAACAGTAGAGAGAATGAGATCAGAAAGGGATCCGAGTGGAATAGGGTCAGATACATAGGGTCTTTAGGGGTTGTAAGAACTTTGGCTTTTACTCAGAATGAAATGGAAGAACCACGGGGAGTGGGGAGGGGTCTGATCGGAGGAGTGACACCATCTGAGCTGTGTTTTAAAAGAATCAGGCTACATAGAAAATAGACATGGTTGTGAAGACCAGTGTCAGGAAGCGCAGGCACAAGCTTGTGGCAGTATCGAAGGCAAAGGAGATGGAAGATGGTGTGGCTTTAACCAGAGTGTAGAAGGGTAGGGATAATGAGAAGAGGTCAAATTCTGGATTTGATAGTAAATCCAGCAGAATTTGTTGACGAATTGGCTGTAAGCAGAAAACAGTAAAGACTGCCCCTACTATTCCTGAGCAACTAGAGAGCAATTCAGTTACTCCAATAACAAAGACTGCTGCTGCTGTATGCCACTGAGTTGGTTCCTACTCATAGCAACCCTGTGTAGGGTTTATACAGGGACAGAAAATCTCATCTTTCACTTGCAAAGCAGCTGGCAGATTTAAACTGCTGATCTCACAATTAACAGTCCAGATTGTAACCCAGTAGACAACCAACTGTCCTAAATAAGACTAGGAAAACTCTACTAACTTGGAAGATGTACAAGTGGAGACAGCAAGAAGACAGTTGGTTAGGGACTGAGGATGTAAATGTGTGGGTTACTGGCTTACGTAAATGTATATAAGTCTTTGATTTATATGTGTATATACACGGAGGCATCAAAAAATTTGTGGAAAACTCTTATTATCTTTCTATTCCATTTTCCACGAACTTATTGAAGCCCCCTCATACTTGTGTGTGTATGTATATATGTATGTGTGCGTCTGTGTATATGTGACTCATAGGCCTATATAAGTATATATGTAAAGCTGTGATCGTGGTTGAAATCCCTGGGATAATGAAACTTAGAACTGAACTCCCATTGGCTATCATGTGCCTGTTCACCCACACCTAAAACTAGGTCTTAAACTAGAACTAGAGACGTCCTAAATTTTTCCCCACTGTCTTATACATTGTATTTTATATTGTGTCCAGTTTATTGTCAGTGACCCTAGATCCCTTTTTACCCCCCCCTTCTTAAATACTGTACTTACAATTTCATCCATTCCCACCATCAGACCCTTTAATCAGGCCTGTATGTTTGTTACATCTTCTTAATTGTTCTTTCCGTCTCTAGCCTAGGCTCCTTTAGACCGCTGCTGCTCATAGCACTTGGTCTGTGAGCTATAACTTGTCAGCAATCAGATTAGGAGCCTGTGCCAGGTTGTAAATCACTGTGCATCTTCTTTCATCAAGAAAGCCTTCCAGTGAAAACTGTCAGTTTTCTAAGCCACACACTGAGGAATATTGCTTTTCATTCTGGTGTGCAGACCAATTGTTTTTGTTGTTGTTAAGAGCTGGCGAGTTGGTTCCAACCATAGTGACCTTATATAGGGTTTCCGAGGAGCAGCTAGTGAGCTTGAGCTGTCAACCGTGTGGTTCAGATTCATTAACCCACAGCGCCACACCAGGACTACTGTTCTAATGCCCACATTCCCGACAGTGCTGCCACTCGTTTATTAAATATTTATCAAGCATTTAACTATGGGTCTTGTATTAACATCAGGAGTATAGCAGTAAACAGCACAAATAAAACTCAGCTGACAAATGCTATGGAGAAAAAGTGAATGGGGAGAAGGTGGAACAGTGTCTACGAGGTGGATGAGGACTGTTGTTGATTAGTGCTGTCAAGTTGTTTCCATCTATGCATACCAGAACAAACACCGCCTGGTCCTGCACCATCCTGACAATTGTTCTATGTGAGCTTACTGTTGTAGCCATTGTCAGGATCAAATGTGGACACTACTTTGTGGATTAAAAGGAGCCATGCAATGTTATTGTTTTTATGCAGAACATAGGACTCCAGGTAGATGAATGCAACCCAGTGCAGTGTTGGTTAAGCATTCCCGTGTCGTCGGTCAACGCTGAGTACTGTGTTTCAGCAGAAGGCTCAACTGAATGGGGTGTTACGACGACAAAGTCTGAGGAATCCTGTATTACCTTATCAGATAACAGCACATGTAAGTTGTTGTCACTTTGTTTATTTTACTCTTGTAATTCTAAATATAGGGAGTGGCTATTAAAATAGGATAATACGAAAAAAGAGAAAGCCATTTATAATTTCAGTAAATTTCTTTTCTCTTTTAAAAATGTTCAGTAGACCCAGCTATTAAAGAAGCAAATTAAAAATAAAGCAGTTAGTTCCATGGGCATTAAAAGACACAAAACAAACAGTTTGACCAAGGAAAGAAAAGGCTGTAACAGATACATAAAACGACGTACATAAAGTCAGCATTCTGTGGTATGACATACTTCGTTACTTCAATGTGACATGATAGTGTATAATTTTTTAATTCCATTTTCCACATACATTTTGAAGCCCCGTGGTATTATCCATTAAAATGTTATTTATAAGAACTGTAAGTTTAAAAATTGAATACATGAATGCTCATTGATTATAACCGTGTAACATGTTAACTGAGTAAGTATTAGAAATTAGTACACAAAAGTAATTAAATACATTTATATATCACTTAAAAATTATTTCGTCGTCTTTTCCTTATATGTCATGGGGAAACTTGATAAAACTTTAGAACTGGCATTGAAATGCAAATAATAAGATCTTAATACAGAAAATTTGCAATAATGAGTATGGCCCCAGATTTTTTCTTGTCTAAATCATGTATTGGGATATTATGTTCACATGGTGGCACCACTGTGGCCCATAAGCAGAAATCCCCGCCTGCCTGTGTCAGTGCCTCATAAACTGCACATTTTTAGCGCATAAAACTTATAACATGGTGCATAATAGTTCCTTTACCTTTAGAAATAGAAATTAGAAGTAGTAGAATTCTACAGAAGCAGCCAAACATCACCACAGTACATAAAGTTGGAAGATTGCTGTTGTCAGTATAGGGTGTCTGAGACTTTAAATCTTCACGGGAGCAGAAAACCTCATCTTCCCCAAACATTTGTAAGATAGGACTGTGAGAAATACTGAAGGGTGTGCTGACAAAAGGAAAAGAAGCATGAGAGCAAAATGCACAATACTATTACGTGATTTTTTTTTTTTTTTAGATCCTATTTGGATTCCAGTTTCTGCTGTCATAATCTTTCTAGTATTTATATTTATCCTCATAATCATATTTTGTCATGTTAAGAAGATGAATTGCTTCAAGAAAAAAAGTATCACATTACCCAAGTCCTTGGTAACATATTTAAATATTTTCCTTTAATTGTATATACTAATTTATTATATTGCATTTTTTGGCGATTTTTAAAATTTTGTAGAATGTACAATTTAGGTAGGATAATATGAGTCCTGGTGTGTGGCGCTGTGGACTAATGCATCAGACTGCAAAGTCGTTTGAACTGCAAGGTCAGTGGTTCAAGCTCACCAGTAGCTCCTTGGAAACCCTATACAGGGTCACTGTGGGTCAGAATCATCAACTTGACAGCACTTAACAACAACAACAATATACAGTGGCATGCCCCCAAAATTGGTTGTTCAGTACCGTTGTTGGTTCTGTCCAAGCAATCTCCAAGGCCAGACAGGAATTTATCCTGGTACTAAGGGACAGACAGTAGGAGTAAGCACTGAACTGCTAATCACAAGGTCGACAGTTCAAGCCCACCAGCCACTCCTCAGAAACCCTACTCAATGGCACTTAACAACAACAAGGTATAGTATGTACTAAAGCCCAGAGTCAAGAAAGCATAACTTCTAAAGTTCTGTAATGGCAGAAACACTCCATTGTGGTTGTGATATAGAAGGAAAGACCACAAGAAATGAGACTGAAATAGTAGTTTGACGTTTTAATAATGCATTTGAGTTATGGTATTGAAAGAGAATATTGAAAGTGGCATGGGCTGCCAAAAGAACCATCAGGTCTGTGTTGGAAGAAGTGCAGCCAGAGTGCTCCTTGAAGGCCAGGCTGGCCAAACTTCATCTCACATGCTTCGGACATATTGTCAGAGGGACCAGTTGCTGGAGAAGGGTATCATGTTTGGTAAGGTGGAGGGTCAGAGAAAAAGAGGAAGATTCCCAACAAGATGGATTGGCCAAGTGGCAGCATTGATGGACTCAAGTGTGAAAACAATAGTGAGATTGGCCCAGGATCGGGCAGTGTTTCATTCTGCTGTGCATAGGGTCGCTATGAGTTGGGACTGACTCGATGGCAACTAACAACAACAATGTTTAGAAGCCTGCATATAATGAAAAGAACATTTAAAGGTAACAGGATGATAGCTCTTTGAATCAAATATGACAGGGAATATCTGATTTGAAAAGGGCACATTTAAATTCATTATAAAAACACTAGCTTTTAAATTAAGTACAGTGGAGAAAAACTATCAACAATTAAATATATCCAACTTTTATTATTATTAAGTGCTGTTGTTGTTGTTAAGTGCCATTGAGTTGGTTTTGACTCACAGTGATTCTGTACAACCTTTCCAAGACTGTAAACCTTTACAGGAGTAGTAAACCTCATCTTTGTCCTACAGAGCAGCTAGTGGGTTCAACTGTCAACCTTTTAGTTTGTAGTCCCAGTGCTTATCCTACAGAGCCACCACGCTCCCTGGTAATTAAATCAAAGCAACCTTGTAGTATACTGTTTTACACCTATTTGAGGGGGAAAATAACCCTGAATATCCAGTGTAGGGCAAGGGGCAGCAAAACTGACCCGTGCTGGTGAAAAGATGCAGCCCGATATCGTAGCTATCTACCGCTGCCATCCTAGAAATACTGTGGGTGGTTGAAACAAACAGAAATGCATTTCCCAACAGTTAGGAAATTCGCAGTCTGAATGCAGGGTGGTGGCTCTAGGGGAACGTGCTTTGTCTCTTTGTTGAACTCCACACGTATATATAGGTATGTTGTTGTTAAGTGCCGTCGAGTTGGTTCCAACTCTTGTAACCCTGTATAGGGTTTCCAAGGAGTGACTGGTGTGTTTCAAACCAATCTTGTTGTCCAGCACATTAAACCATAGCGCCATACCAGGACTCCTAAACATAGGTATAGAGGTTAGGATTTACAACATATACTTGGGGAGTACACAGTTCAATCCATAACATTCAGTACTTTGGCCCCCCAGAATTTATGGCCTTGCCATTTAAATATTCACGATATCATCCCAAAAGTCTTCAATTCGCTTCAAGTCCCAAATCTCATCTTCTGAATCATTTCACTCAAATAAATACCTTCTTCATCTCTGAACTTGTGAAATCTAGATTACAGGTTATCTATTTCTAAAATACAATGATGGAACCAGTACAAGGTAGACATTTTCTTTACAAATGGAAGAAATTTAGAGGGAAGGAAGGAATAAAGGGCACCAGGCAAGTCCAACAGCTAGCAGAATTTATTATGTTAGCTTCCAGACTGTTCTCGGAGACCTGGGCAGTGGCACTGCCTTTCAGACTCTGCATCTTGGCCTTTGGCCTCACCCTCTGCATTCTGGGTGGCCCTGGAAAACGATGTGTGAGAAGACTCACTTCTGCATGCTCTGTAGTAGTGGAAACTGGAAACCCCGTACTACCTACTACTACGGAAAGGACAGTCACTATAAAGAAGTAATATAAGCTGCTGGCAATTACTAAGATAAAGGCAAATCAGGAACATATTATAAAGTGGCAGGTGTACTCCAATGACAATATAGCATGCATACATGTGAACGGTAATTATGGAAAGAAGCATGTATATTTGGTGAGTTTTAAAACTTAAAAAAAAAAAATTTAATCCCGAAGTAGTATCTTTTTCATCTAAAAGAAAGAAAAGAGTCAATTACCTCATTCTATCTTAATGTTGTACATAATGTGCTATTGAGTGGTATGTTTGATAGGCCATTACCCTTAGGTCACTTTTTTTAAGGTTAGGCACTTACGTTTAATAATTTATTATTTTTTTAATCATTCCAGTTTCTCTCCTCTTAGGTCTCTGTTGTAAAGCATGCCACTTTGGAGACAAATCCTGAGTCCAAAAAGTATGTCTCACTCATCACATCATACCAACCTTTTGTCCTAGAGAAGGACAAGGCGGTCAGCGAAGAGCAGCTGTCTCCAGCAACAGTTACCAGCATGCATATAGAAGGCATTCCAGGAAAACTGGAGCACACAGAATTTTCTAGTGAAACAGAAGTGGTGATTATTGAGGAAAATAGTTCTGACCTGGTCCCAGGGAGCCCTCTGACTCCAGTAAGAAGAGAGAATTCTTCCCATTCACACAGCAACCAGTCTGAGTCCTGCAGCATCACTTTAAACTTGTATCACTCCAGAAATGGTTCTGACAGTGGCCTTGTGGAATCGGACAGTTTCTTATCTGACTCGGAATTTCCCCCAAATAATAAAACTGAAATCAGTACAGAGAGACAAAACTCCATCATACTAAGAAACACTACCACCTCATTTGGTTATGATAAACCACACGTGCTGGTGGATCTGCAGGTGGATAATGGGGGGAAAGAGTCCTTGATTGGTTATAGACTTCCAGCAGATTCCAACGAGTGTTCATAAAGGCAACTCAAATGCACCAACTTTAAAGCATCTGATTTTCGGAGTGTTTCTTTGGTTTTATAAAAAGATCACGAATCAGAAACGGAATCAGTTCTTGATAGTAACCAGACATAGTGGCATCGTTACCTTTTATCTAAAAACTGCAAAGACAAAGGATCGCATCCTGTGAAGCTTTCCATCTAGACGAGCATTCTCCGATACTCCTGCTTCCTATGAGAAGGTGTTTCCTCTGTCCTATTGAGATAGTTTAGGCTATGTGTCACCTGGACTGGGCCAGGATTCCCAGTGACTTGGCAGGTGAGATGTAGCTATTCCACATTGTGAGAGCTCATGAAATGTGATCAAATCTATAATGAGGTTTACTGTGACCAGTCAGTCAAGGGAAAGGATGATTCCTCAGGGATTTGACCCACTTCCCCTATACTGGACACAGGTTGCTGCTTTCTGCAGGGTCTGCATCTTACATCTGGCTCATCGTTCTACTTCTGGTTCTTTGGACTGAGCCAAGGAGTCAACAGCAGCCTGCCTTCTTACTTGCCCAGCTTGCCATGTGAGCTGCCGAATTGGGTTCATCATCCCTGCAGCTCCGTGAGTCAGAAGCCTCCAGCCTGACCTCTGACCCACAGACTTGGGACTTGCTACCTCTACAACTGCATGAGCCATTTCCTTGATAGAAACCTTGTTTTACATATATAAGTTTCACTGGTTTTGCTTCTCTAGGGAACTCAGACTAAGACACCTGTCTAGACATTTAAAAAGCTGTCATGCATTTTTTCTTTTCTGTGCCAAGGTATGGTGTATTTGCATTCTGCGTAATTGCATTCTTAAGTTCTGGAAGCTTGTCAGAATTTTTTCAGATGTAATTCAAATTAACAAAAGGAGTAAATGTATGTAAATACAAATTTTTATATTTTATCGAACATTGTCAAGATTTTTAAATAAAATGTTTTAAAATTTATTTTTGTATTCATTTCTGGAAGCAATTAGGCATTCTTTAATAGTTAACCAGAATTTTTTTTTAATCCTTCGTTTCCATGCATGAAAGTTAGAGACATATTTCTAATTGCTCATACTTAACCTTGAATTCTAAAACCAGTCCTATGCCTAACAATGATCCTTTTACATGTATGTTTCATTGTTTAGTACCCAGTGTGCAGGCCACTGTTCTGGGTGGTTCAGAAAGAACAAATAGGCTATAGAGGTTTCGTAGGATAACACTGAACTGCTAACCAGACTATCAGTGGTTTCAAATCCACCAGCAGCTCCTCAGAAACCCTATACAGGATCACTGTGATTCAGAACTAACATACGGCACTTCACAACAGCATAAAGGTTTGGGGGTTCAGAATCAGGGGAGTGACCTAGGTAATGATAGTAACTGAAAAGCATGGCATAATGAAGAGGGAATCAACTCAGGAGAGGCCAATAAAGAGATAATGTCTATATTGTTATGCAAGTAATTCTAGGAAATTGCTAAGAGGATAGGAATTTCAAAACACATTCATAGTGGAAAAAAAAAATTTACAATTTACACAAGTACAGTAGCAAATAAACCTTATAAAAATGGTTTTCCTTAATGGTGCAAGTTAAATATAGTGCTATATTGGGACCTCTTCCAACCAGTTAACCAGGTAACTGTCTTCCAGATTTCTTAGCTTATATGAGTGAGTGCCTCCAGTGCTGCATCAATTTGTTGAAAGATTACATTTGTATCCCATCAAGTCTGGGAGCCTTGTTCTTTGCCAGTGCCTTCAGTCTACCTTAGACTTCTTCCTTCAGTACCATTGACTCTTAATCAGATTCCATCTTTTTGTATGATTGAACATCGTCTGTTTCTTTTTGGTACAGTGACTCTGTATTCCTTCCATCTTCTTTTGATGCATTCTCCATCATTCAAAATTTACCCAAAATTTTCAAGTTGAGGCTTGAATTATTTTTTTCAGTTCATTCAGCTTGAGAAAGGCTGAGTAAGGTTCTTGCCTTTTGGTTTTCTAATTCCAGGTCTGCACATTTCATTATAATGCTTGACTTTGTCTTCTCAGGCTGTCCTTTGATGTTTTCTGTTCGGCTCTTTTACTTTCTCATTTCTTCCATTTGCTTTAGCATCTGTATACTTGAAAGCAAGATCAGAGTCTCTTTTGACATCCATTTTGACCTTGTTTCTTATTTTCTTAATGACCTTTTGCTTTGTTCCTGTATGATATTCTTGATGTCATCCCACAACCCTTCTGGTCTTCAGTCATTAGTGTTTAATGCACCAAATCTGCTCTTGAGATGATTTCTAAATTCGGGTGGGATATGTTTAAGGTCAAATTTTGACTCTATGACTTTGTAATTTTCTTCAGCTTCAGCCTGAACTTGCATATGAGCAATTGATGGTCTGTTCCCCAGTCTGCCCCTGGCCTTGTTTGGGCTGATGGTATGGAGCTTTTCCACTGAATTCATTTCCAGTAATTTCATTTCTGTATATTCCATTTGGTGAGTTCCATGTATATAGACATCTTTTATGTTGTTTTAAAAAAGGTATATGCAATGCACAAGTCAGTGGTCTTGCAAAATTCTATCATGCGGTCTCCAGCATCACTTCACCAAGACCGTATTTTCCAACTACTGACCCTTCCACTTTGTTTCCAACGTTTGCATTCCAATCACTGGTAATTAATTATCAATACATCTTGACTACCTGTTTGATCAATTTCAGACTGAAGAAGTTGGTTGTTGTTGTTGTTGTTGAGTGCCGTGGAGTCGGTTCTGACTCAGCGACCCTGCACAGGGTTTCTGAGGCTGTAAATCTTTACAGGAGCAGAACGCCTCATCTTTCTCCCGCGGAATGGCTGGTAGTTTCGAACTGCTGACCTTGCAGTTCACAGCCCGATTCGTAACCACTACGCTACCAGAGCTTCTGAAGAAGTTGATAGAATTCTTCAATTTCATCCTCACAGGCTTTAGTGATTGGTGCATAAATTTGAATTTTTTTAGCTGGTCTTCCTTGTAGGTGTATGGATATTATCCTATCACAGACAGCATTGTACTTCATGATAGATCTTGAAATGCTCTTTTTGATGATGAAGGTGATGCCATTCCTTTTCAATTTGTCATTCCCGGCATTATGCTTTGTGCCCCATCAGCAAATGAAAGTCCAAAGGCTTTACTCCATTCACTTCATCAGTCAACTCTGCTTGAGGAGGCAGCTCTTCCTCAGTCGCATTTTGAGTGCCTTCCAACCTGAAGCACTCTATCTAACAGTGTTATGGTGCTGTTCATCATGTTTCAGTATTCAGTATTCTGCTGCTACCTAACAGTGTTCCACAGCTCTTCAAAGTTTTCAGTGGCTAAACATTCAGAAGTAACCTGCCTTTCCTTTTTCCTAGTTTATCATAGTCTGGAAACCCTACTGAAACCTATCTACCATAGGTGACCCACTATTTTTTTTAAATACCACTGGCATAGCTTTCAGCACCACCACAACATACAAGCCACCACAGAACGACAAACTACAGATCAGTGGTGGTTTGGTGGCAATATATATTGTTAATTGCTTTTCAAAGTGAAAAAATCACTTTTTAATAGCACCATTAATCGGAAAGCTTTCTTTTCCAAGAAGACACGAATCATCCCCCATTTGATCCATCTAGTATGTAAAAAAAAAAAAAAAAACCCAAAAGCTATGAATTTACTCATCACTCATAGCTTCCATATTGCATAGACAGATACACCGTAAGGACATAATATAGTTAGGATGTGAGTGATCCAATCACTGGGTAAGGACAAATTTGAGTTCTACTAAGGAAAGCATGTGGCTCATGACTAAAACCAAAGACAGAGATAAAAGTTCCAAAAAAAATGCATCCCTAATTATACAAATGTGAAGCAAGTATAAATACTATTTGGAATTTGTTACATTAATCAATTGTTGAGGTGATGCTGTACCCAACTTGGTTTGAAAAGTAGAGTCATGGTTTGATTTGGGTTGGTGTTTGTGTGTTTGTTGTTACCATTATCTTAATAGTGGCATATTGTCAAGCCTCTTCCTCTGTGGTACTGCTGTTCATTGTTTTTAAGTACCTTGGAGTTCGCTTCAAACCGGTACTTTGGCCCCCCCAGAATTCACAGCCTTTCCATTTAAATATTCACGATATCATACCAAAAGTCTTCAATTAACTTCAAGTCCCAAATCTCATCTTCTGAATCATTTAAATTAAATACCTTCTTGTCTCTGAACTTGTTTGCAGATGTCCAAACCGCATAGTGTCCCTTATTCTGTTCAATTAACTGTCTCTTGGTTTATATGCTGGTTCCACATGAACACAATTAAGTGTTTTGGTAATTCCAATACTTTGCAATGTTATACATAGTTTGTTATTATCCCCACAGTTGAATGCCTTTGCATAGTCAATAAAATGTAAGTTGTTTCAGTACCCATCTCACACACACTTTTCAAAACCCAAGTCTGTCATGGATTATTTCATAGTCAGAGCCATGTCTGGTTTGCCAATGATTTACCACATAATCCACTGTCACTCGCCTATTGGACAGAATCACTTCACATGCACACTCAATGTTGGCATCAGCCATGGACGTGGATTGGCATTTTAATATAACAAGAATGTGGATAATTTCAGACTCACTCATATATACATATCACATTCCATATCTCATGTTGTTGTTGTTGTCAGGTGCCATCAAGATGGAACCGACTCATAGCGACCCCATGCACAGCAGAAGGAAACAATGTCCGATCCTGGGCCAACCTCACTACCGCTACCACACTTGAGTCCATCAATGATGCCACCTGGCCAATCCATATCTCAAAGGAGACCCTAAAGGACACAATTCAAAGTCAATTCCTGGTATAAATACTCATATTGATTATATAAAAGAAAGAAGAAAACACAAGAAATAAGCATCTGATTAAAGGTGTTTCTATCAAACAAGAAGTTAAATGCAAGAAAAATAGAAATTTTAAAAAAAGATGTGACAGATCAGTTTTTTAAATAAAA